GTTTACCAAGCTGTAGGGAAAAACTGACAAGGTTTCATATAAATATGAAACATGTTTTATTGTGTTACTCTCTACTTTTATGATACACAAGGTAATTTTCAGTCTGAATGTCAGGATATATCCCATGGACATCAAACGGGGTTTCTTTTTGGAGTGATAAAAATGTTCTAAACTGGGTAGTGGTGATGGTTGCACAATTCTGGAAAGACTAAAAACCAATGAACTATACACTTTAAAACTGCGACTTTTGTTATGTGAATTATGTGACAATAAAGCTATTAGGAGGAAAAAAATATTTTGAAACAGAGTTTATTTCTAGATACTTGATTAGATTGCATCAACTCCTCGGTGGGGTTCTACAAACCTCACCATGGGGATGTGACATACTATGCTCTACTATACTATAATACTAGCATACTTTCAAAGCTCTGGAAATTCATTAAATGACCTTACAAATGCACTTACTATTTGAAAGTGGTACTCAAACAAATGGTCAAGTCAACTTCCAATGAGTTATTATGTAAAGCATTTCTCTCAAATAAGAGTAAAAGAAAGGAAGAAAGGGATTTGTACTTGCAACTGGAAACTACATTTTTGCTAACTGAAACTGTGCATATTCATGATTTAACCTCTACTGCACAAAAAATGTTCATTCAGATTTCATTTGTTGAACTCTAGATTTTAAGGGAATAAGGATTTATTTTTTAAACCTTTCTTAAGAAAAGTTTTATTTGAAACTTCAAATGTTAAAACCAGCTACCCCAATTACAATGCCATCATTGGCCATGTTTTAAATGAGCCACATAAAGATTGTGTCCTCAAAAGAAAATTAAGCTACATAGCAAATAACCCTACATTTCTAGCGTTAACTCAAAGTAAGAAAACATGAGGCACAATAAAAAGTGTAATAATACAACAAAGATTAAAAATCTTTAAAAATGTTAAGAATTGTAAAAGTCAACACTATTCTTCAGGAAAAATTTTAAAGGTCATAAAGTCATAAAGGGAACCCCATGGCTACAGAAACCACCCTTCTGCCTCAAATAGGAGTGCCCCAGGCCTCCCGTGGTCAATGACCGCCTTCAGCATACCACACCAGTGGAATCTGAATTTCACTCACTTCTAGTGGCCTTGAGCATCGCTTGCCATGTTTCTTGGGCACTTGGACTCGGGCTTCCATGAACTGCTCATTCACATCCTTTGCCAAGTTTTCTGATGGACTGCATGTCTTTTCCTTGTCAGTTTAAAAGCACTCATTGTATATTATATATCAACTGTTTATCTGTCAGTTGTTGAAAGATTTTTTAAAACTTTGTCCATTTTGTGTGTAATATCTTTAGCATACAGAAATTCTACATTTTTATATGTGTAAAATATTTCTTTTATCACATAGCTTTCTTTTCTAAGATGGTATTACTTTATTACATTTCAATCTTTAAACCAATTGTAATTGCATGTATGTGTGTGGTATGTTACCCCAGGGTTCAACCAGATTTCCTTCAGGTGGATACCCAGGGTTCCCAGCAATGTGTATTAACCAATCCATCCTCTTCTCATTGAAGTAAAAAAAAATATTTTGGGGGTTTATTAAATGTCCATATGAAAGGACATCTATTTCTGGATTATCTACTCTGACTGAACAATTCCCAGGTCAATGTGACAATAATCTGATCCCACTGACTCTATGGTATGTTCTGGTATCTGGCAAGGCTTTTTTAAAAAAACTTGTTGGATGGACGTAGAGATTGTCATACTGAGTAAAGTAAGTCAGACAGAGAAAGACAAATATCATGTGATATCGCTTATATGTGGAATCTAAAAAAAGGGTACAAATGAACTTATCTACAAAACAGAAATAGAGTCACAGACGTAGAAAACAAAGTTATGGTCACCAGGGCGTAAGGGCGTGGGGAGGGATAAATTGGAAGATTGGGATTGACACATATACACTACTATATATAAAACAGATAACTAATAAGGACCTACTGTATAGCACAGGGAACTCTACTCAATACTCTGTAATGGCCTATATGGGGAAAGAATCTAAAAAAGAGTGGATATATTTATATGTATAACTGATTCACTTTGCTGTACACCTGAAACCAACACAGCATTGTAAATCAACTATACTCCAATTAAAAAAAAAAAAAAACTTGCTTGGCCATTCACAGACATTTCTTTTTCCCTATGAACTTTTAATTTATCTATTCTATAAACAACTCTAATGAAAATCAAGATGGAACTGCATTAGATACGTGAATTTTTAGAGAACTGACTTTTTTTTTTTTTTTTTTTCTCTTAGGCAAGATTATAGGTGCAATTGAGTCTGTTCATCAGGAGGCACATAACACCTCTCTATCATTTTAACTTTGGCAGCATTGATGCTCAAAGCCTAAATATATTAACTCATTACTTCATTTGCTCTGCTGTGTTTTTCTTGTATAACCAATCTAGAAGTGAAATTTGTTTCAATTTCTGGTCATCTAACAAGTTTCTTTTTTTTTTTTTTTTTGTGGTACGCGGGCCTCTCACTGTTGTGGCCTCTCCCGTTGTGGAGCACAGGCTCCGACAAGCAGGTTCAGCGGCCATAGCTCACGGGCCCAGCCGCTCCGCGGCATGTGGGATCCTCCTGGACCGGGGCACAAACCCGTGTCCCCTGCATCGGCAGGCGGACTCTCAACCACTGCGCCACCAGGGAAGCCCGAGAACTGACATTTTTATGATAGTTTGTTCAAAGAAAATAGTACATTCAGTTCTACTAATATTTCCTTTAGTAAGATTATATCACTTCCTTCATATAAGTAACTACTTTTCTTGTTAAATGTGTTCTCAGGAATTTTAACATTTCTGTCACTCTTTTAAATAGAACATGTCCCCCATTTCCATATTTAGGGGCTTATTTCAAGCACAGAGAAGAATTTTGCTTTTAATAATCATTTATGCTGGGTGTATTGAGCAATCTTACCAAACTTCTGTGAATCTTACACAATCACATAACTAGCAAAAAAGAGAGTTAACTGTCGTTTCCAATATTTATACCATTCCTTTTTATTGTAAATAAATATTTATTTACTTCTATTTATTTGGTTGCGCCGGGCCTTAGTTGTAGCACGTGGGCTCCTTAGTTGCGGCATGTGGGATCTAGTTCCCTGACCAGGGATCAAATCCGGGCCCCCTACGTTGGGAGTTCAGAGTCTTAACCACTGCGCCACCAGGGAAGTCCCCACCATTCCTCTTTCCTGTTGGTCTTACTGCCTCTATGACATTACTAAGTGAGCATCCCTGCTTGGTTTTGAGTTTAAATTAAATGGTTTAAAAAAAAAATGACTACAGTGTTTCATTGTTTAGAATAATATTTGGTACTGATTTTTAGAAAGTAATCTGACATATTTAAGCAGTTCCCTTTTCTACTTATTAGAAATGGTTACTATACTTTTTATCAAATGCTTAGTCAGCATCTGCTGATCTGATCCCACATTTTCTTTTTCCTTTTATCTCCTGATATAATAATGTTGAGGGAATTCCTTGATTCTGAACCAATCTTGCACCCCTGGCATAAACTCAAGTTGGTCATAGTTTTTGTACATTGTGAAATTCTATTTGCTAAGATTTTGTTTTGATTTTCTGTGTCTACGATCATAATTGAGACGGGTCTCTGGCTGCTTTATGTCTGTACTGTTTTTCAGGTTTTATAAAGGAAGCTAAATCAATAAAATGAAACGGTGAGCTTTCTCTCTTTTACCAAATTTCTTTTTTTTTCGCGTCACCACGCAGCATGAGAGATCTTAGTTCCCCAACCAGGGATCAAATCTGTGCCCCCTGCAGTGGAAGCACCAAGTCTTAACCACTGGACCGCCAGAGACGTCCCCAAAGTATTTTTAAAAAGATATTCAGCTATTTCAAATGGTTTTCATGGATAAAAAAAAAGCTCCCGACAATCAACACTGACATGCATACTTAAAAAAAAAAAAAATCAGGCAGATAGATTCCCACTCCCTATTCCCCACACTACTGTCCCCAAAATATGTTTTCTAGAGAGAAACAAAAATACCCAGTGTGGGATAATGAGTGGGTTATGAGAGAAGAGACTTTCTAGTAATGGTTTAATTAGGAGAAGCCTCAACAGGAGAGGAGAGGAAACACATAATGCTCAGGTTCTAGACATCCACTAGAATTCCAAAACTTTTTTGACAATTTTGTGTGACCTTTTTAAAAAAATTCTTTTGCTCAACTAACAGAATATTACTGTTGGGACTCCTTTGTAGTAAAAACTCAAAGGTCTTTTAGAACTATAGCAGTTACTCCTACAAAGCTCAACTCTCCCCACCCCCTCCTAATATACTGGAATAGATTTGGAATTCGATTTCTCAAATCTTCTCTGCAAAATATGATTTCAGCTCTGCTGTCCAGTTCCTCTCTTATTCATAGTTATTTCTCAGTTTACTCATTTCTCTTTTTTTTAATGAAAGGTTTTTTCTAATTTATTTTTTATTTATTTATTTATCTTTGGCTGCGTTGGGTCTTCGTTGCTGCGCGCGGGCTTTCTCTAGTTGCAGCGAGCGGGGGCTACTCTTCGTTGTGGTGCGCAGGTTTCTCATTGTGGTGGCTTCTCTTGCTGCGGAGCACGGGCTCTAGGCATGCGGGCTTCAGTAGTTGTGGCTCGCGGGCTCTAGAGCACAGGCTCGGTAGTTGTGGTGCACGGGCTTAGTTGCTCCGCAGTATATGGGGTCTTCCCAGACTAGGGCTCGAACCCGTGTCCCCTGCATTGGCAGGCGGATTCTTAACCACTGCACCACCAGGGAAGCCCAGTTTACTCATTTCTAATAATCTCCCCAAAAGACTAACTAAAAGTCT